AAGTATATTTTTTTCTATGACACTTACTGCTTACATTTTGTTTCAAGCAAAAAACCCCATCTCTTGATAAAATATAGTTCTCACCTTACATATTTGTAACAGTTCTGGATTTTGAATGGCATGACTTTCTGACTTACAGGACACTAGTTTTCCTCCTTTCTTTTATTTTACATATTTGTTTTGTCTCACTCTATACATGGTATGTTTATCAATTAAGATACACACACACATAATGTCTCTGAAAATGTGCTTCATTTCTAAAATTACTTCAAATTTCTCTCTTACATCTAGGTTAAATCCTATTTGGCTTTTCATGTTTTATTCGATTTTTAGAAAAATGCATAACCTTTGATTCTTCTGAATTTCTTAGTCTATGAGGTATTCCAAGACTTAACAAAAGGTACTCAATGAATGGCACTAATCACACACTGATGTTACTGTTCGCAGGTACCTGGCTCTTATGACAGTTTAAATGCTTTTCTGGAATGTGCATGCCTGCGCACGATGCTGTCGCTGCAGCAAGCAGGCACCCGCCACCCTCCCTCATAGACAGTGCTGCAAGGCTCTGGTGGCTGTCATTAAGCAACTGTTCTAAGTATGGAGAAAAAGGTCAATAACCATAATGGTTTCAAGATATTCATATATTAGTCATACCATCAATTCACCAAGATCTGTGAGATATTTCATGAGAATTTTAATTGGCACATATAAAGTATATATGTAGCTAAATTGCTGCTGTCAGCTTTATTAAATATTTATTTATTTAAACTCAGAGAACAGTCCATTTCCTTCCGTTTCTTCTATGTATATATTTGATTTTGGTCAATCCAAAGAACTCTTTTTACTGTACTAATTTTTATTGCATATTATATCCCTAGCTCGTAAATTCATTTTTTGGAGAGGCAACAATGCGGGAGGAATCCCTAGCATCCAAACAAAATTATCTTCTTTCCAGACTCTATAAACTGTAACTTTTTCACTGGGGCAGCTGGGAACACCACCCACGTAGCAGGATGCGGCCACTCAGGGGCATGCCGGGTACTGAGATCCTTTGGGATTGGACCTAAACCAGAAAGTGGAGAGGCAGAAAGTCATCCCCTCCCCGTCCCCTCCCCACACCCTTAGGATCCACTGTCAAATCCAGTGTAATTACTGTTGAGTTTCTGCCCATTGCTCTTGCATTTCCACTTTTCTGTTTTCCTGCTCACCAGATACATTCTGTCTGTCACAAGCCTCCATACCTTCCCTCTGCCTGTTCTTTTTTTCTCTGTCTTTACGCCTTCACAAGCTCTCCCTCTGCCTGCCTGGGCCTCTCTGGGGCACGACTGCTGCTGGCCAGGAAAAGGGCTGAGGCCAGGCAGCTTAGGCTCCTCTTCCTCCCTCTCCCTCCTCCCTCCCTCTGAAGGGCCTCCTCCTCGGACCTTCCATCGGGCAGAGCTCCCTAGACACCCCGTGACCACCTCCTCCACAGCCTATGACTCCCCCGGCTCCGGCCCTGACCCTGAGAGCCCACGACTTTTTTTTTAAAGTAATTTTCCTTTTTATTTATTTTATTTTTAACGTTTAAGGAATATTCTTTTTTTCTTTTGTTTTTAATATATATATTTTTTATTGATTTCCAAGAGGAAGGGAGAGGGCGAGATATAAACATTAATAATGAGAGAGAATCACTGATTGGCTGCCTCCTGCACACCCGCTACTTGGGGATTGAGCCCACAGCCCGGGCATGTGCTCTTGGCTGGAATCGAACCTGGGACTCTTTAGTCTTCAGGCTGATGCTCTATGCACTGAGCCAAACTGGCTAGGGCCAGAGCCCACATCTTAATTCTGAAGTCTGCCTGCTTATCTGAAATCAGGTCTCCTGAGTGAAACAGGGCCCACATCTTAATTCTGAAGTCTGCCTGGCTTATCTGAAATCAGGTCTCCTGAGTGAAACAGAAATTTCGTAAAGAATTACACTGCCTCCTTCACTACTGACCAACAAGAGAAACTGCAACCCAACTAACCACCAGGAAGGATGAACACAGACCAGGCTGCGTGGCAGAGCAGAGAGCGCCCTGGACTCGCGCACAGAACCGAGCAGCAGCGCCACGTGCTGAACGGGCGAGGCGAGCGCGGCACCTTTTGGAAGCTCAGTCTCCTCATATTTAACTAGAAAACAACAGAGTTACTATTAAGATATTAAAGTTCTTTTCCTGAGCAGCCCATAAGCCTACACACAGAGAATTTCCTACAGAATATGGGATGGTCAAGGGGAAGGCACACTGAATCGCTTTGTTTTGGTTAAAATCTCCCATGACTCTGAAGCAAGCTCTGTACTGGCCAATAAAACCTGGCCCTAAAAAAGTGTCATCAATGGTAAATATCAGTAACGTTGCCTGATTGGGCAAGACCAGAATCGAGTCCTCAGACACGCTCCCTGCTCTGCCCCCTCTTCGTGAATCCGGGGTCTGATTCACCGCTATAGGGGTGAGGAGTCAGTGAAAACTGTCCCTGGAGGACAGGAGCCAGGGCTGGAGGGAGCAAGGAGGTGGGGGCAGGAGGCGACGGACAGGGACGCTGTACTGGTGTCAAATCCAAGCTGTGGGCTGACGCTCTGGGTGCCACTGCATCCTGCTGATGACAGACGCATACCTAGAAGGGCAGCTTTTCAACGACCTGACAATGAACACATCACTCACAGAGTTCCGCCAGCCAGTCCTTCACATCCTCCATCGTGGCGTTCACTCTGGTCTCATCGGTGGGCAGAGTGATCCGACACCTCGGGTGGAATATATATGTGGGGTCAACCGTCTCTAACTTGATCTTTGTACTTAGCTGCTGCAGCACCCAGAGAAAATTCAGCATAAATCCATCTGTAGAAACCAATCTGTCATCTGTCTGTGAAACATGAAAGGAAGTACTTAGAATAATGACTAAATAGAAATGCTGAGCAAACATGCATCTTTTTTTTCTTTTTTTATTAAGAAAAAAAATATATTTTTAAATCCTCACCAGAGGATATGTTTCCATTGATTTTTAGAGAGAGTGGAAGGGAGAGAGGAGGGGGAGAGAGAGAAACATCGATGTGAGAGAGACACACTGATTGGTTGCCTCCCGCACATGCCCCAACCTGGGCTAGGAATCGAGCCTGCAACCCAGGTACATGCCCTTGACTGGGAATTGAACCTGAGACCCTTCCATCCACAGGCAGATGCTCTAACCACTGGCCAAACCAGCTAGAGCAGCGGTCGCCAACCGGTGGTCCGCGGACCACTGATGGTCCGTGAAGTCCGAAAGGTTGGCGACCCCTGAGCTAGAGCACCAAACGGTCAGCGACAGGACACGCATATCACGTCACCACTGTCGCTCTTTAGCAGCTACCACTTGTTGAGTGCTCATCATTGTGAAGCATTTCTCCGTCCTCTCACCGGATCTTCACAATAGCCCGTAGAAGGCAGTTATACTATTATTCCCATTTTCCAGAGAGGAAAACTAAGATTCAGAGAATTTAGTGATTGGCTCAGACCCTCACAATCAGCAACAACACACTACACACTGCTGCCTTCCTCTTCACTCCCCTCAAGGGCATGGGAACAACTAGTGTCACGGTCCCGCCTGACAGCACTGGCACGGTCCTCACTAATAGCAGAACAACTGTAACAGCGACAGTTACAACGCGGAGTGCTCACTACGTAGTGCTCGCTATTCCACCAACTTTACGGAGAGGAAACACACACGTTCAGTGTTTACCATCCCCATTCAGCAACGAGGAAACGGAGAAACAGAAGTAACTGCCTAAGGTCCCACTGTTAGCAAACGCCGGAACCACCACGGCAGATCCAGGCAGTCTCGTACAAGGTCCATGCTTTGGCCTATACTTTTCCATCTTGAGTAGAAACGTCTCATCATTCATTACTAATACAGGGTGGACGGCCTTGTAGCTTTTCTGCTCGGGCAAAACAGTCCACGCCAGCAGCCTCCACAAAGGGCTGCTCTCAGGTCTGCTCCGGCTCCCGCCCACTTTAGTCCCTTCTCTGCACGGATTCGCAGGGCTCCTCGCTGAGCAAACTGATGGAGCCTCTGACCCCGCTCCTAACACACCACCCACCCTTCACTTCCTGTTCACGGTCCTCCAGCTACGAAGGCCGGCATGTGGGCTTGCTCCAAAGCTCGTCCATTCCTGCCTTAGTGCCTGACGCCTGCCTAGAGAGCCCTTTCCCCGGCCTTGCAATGGCTGGTTCTTTCTATCAGTCAGGTCTCTGATCAAATGCCACCTCTTCAGAGGGGCCTTTCCGCCACTCAGACAAAATTCACCCACAGCTTCTTTCTGGAACCTCCACCGTCACTCTCCAGGGCGGTGCCTTGCGGTCTTTGCTTCCTAGGAGCTATGTCTGCTGAAACCATGTCCGTGCGCTCACTCCTTTACCCTACAGGACACCCGCTGCACACAAGCAGGAAGTGTCTCCATCTTGTTCAACACGCATCTCCATCTCCCAGGACAGTGTCGGGTCAGCGCTGAATGAACAGAGGAGTTAGAGGAATGAACTAACGAAGCAATAAAAGGAGCCTTTAGGGGTCCTACCTGCATCTGCGCTTTTTTCATATTGGCATTGACGACAGCTGCCATGTAACCAAGGGCAGCCTCCCGGGTTTCACCATTTAACAGGATACTATGCAGAATCTTGAAAAGCTCTTGCTGAAATTTATTTTAAAAACAAAGAAAAAAATTAAAGCTTTACTTTAAAAACTATTCCTTTGGACTTAAGGATAGCTAGCTCCCTCCCTGCTTTCTCTCCTCCCCACTCCCTCTGACTGCGAGAAGCTGGCGACAGGAAGAGCAGACGACAAGCCCGCACTCAACTGTGTCGACAGCATTAGCATGGAAGGGGATGTGGAGTGGAGAAGGATGTAGTTACAGTTTTAATAAAACAGCCTTTGCCATTTCCTGTCCAGGAGAGGATCACAATTACCTTAATGATGCTATAATTAGCCTATAATTTTGCTGCTTTTTTTGAGAACTGAAGCCATATAAACTACACTTGGGACCAGCGAGTTAAACTAACAGCGCTCACTCATCCCATGTTTTAAATGCCTAAGAGCAAGTTGCAGAAAGCCTGGCCACTAAACTCAGGACCCGTGCCCAGCGATGCCTCCTACCGAGGGCGCGTAGCATTCTAGCTGAAGTTACCGTTCAAGGCAACGGTTACTCGTCTACCGCCTTTTATTCATCCCCTGAGTTCATTTTCTGAACACCTACCCTTCCCAGCTCCAAGTAATGCTGCAATGATTGGCTAACCACGCGAGTATTTTCCAGGGTAATAGCAGGCCCTGAGAAATATTTTTCAACCACTTTAGCCTGGAAAGAAAAGAAACAAATTCATTCGACATATATTATACATTTGGGAAGGAATCTGAACACAAGAGCAAAAGTGCAAATGGCCACTATACTTACATCATCTTCCGCGAAGACTGAGAAGCTAAAAAAAGACCCCAAGTAGGAGAGTCTCTGCAGCTCCCGCCCAGACCCAGGGCTGAGGGACTTAGGCAACCACAACGGCAAGGAAGCCACCTGTGCAGAAATGAAAGCGGCAGATGAAGCGGCTGTCTCGGCAAGGGAGGTAAAAAAGTCATGGACAGAGTTCCCAACAGCCGAGTTCCGCAGCGGGTCCTGAGCCACCAGCACAATGTGGGCATTAACATCCCAAAACACAGGCTCCCCCGTGTGCTCGCTTCCCCCTGCGGGTGTTTTCTCATCTCGGATGGAGGAAAGCCTCCAGCTCCTCCACACTTTTATAAGATACACTTCTAAGTTTTTATGGACATACTTCTAAGTTTCATGTTTCAGAAACTCTGTGATGGAGTGCACGTGAAATCTTCTTATGCTGCAAAAGGATTCAAGTCAATTCTTCCCTCGGACTGCTATTCTAGATGTATTATTCTAGAGGTATAATACTAACCCAAATTTAAAAAGTCACTAAAGAAGGTCAACAGCTTCATCCCAGGAAATGGTAAATGACATCAATTTAAGAATCCAGAGCCACCCACACATGCTACCTATGTCTAGATCTAAATGCCCTACGACAGACGGCTCCCAGATGGTGCAGTGAGGAACGCCTTCTGAGTTATATGCTCAGTCCAAGTGTGCGAGCCCATCAGGGAGGCACTTACCAAATTGCACACGGGGTGTGTCTTCCCAAACTTGGTTTCGCAGAGCTCACCCAAAGCCTGGAAATCAGATCAGAGAGTCGTTTAAACATATTTCACCAGACCGCAAAGTGAACACCGAAGAATAGCTCTAACGGCTGCTGTGAATGCGCATGTATCCCTCCCAACCCTAACAGCTTCCCTGCTTCCCCGATTCAGCAATACATCGCCCTGTAAAACACTTAACATAAAACAGAAACAGAAAATGAAGCTAAAAGTCACTCAAACCTTACACCAAGGGATAACCTCTGTTGATATTTTAGTTAACAGCTTTCCAGACATATTTTTGTGCATATACACAGAGATAAATGTGTATATATATTTTTAAATAACTTTTTTTCCATGTCAAAAAGATATGCTTCATATACTGCAGATGGGTAATCTTGCCAGTGCTAAACAGAACTATAAAGAATTATAATTTAATAAGCTATCAAATCCAGAACATATTTAAAAGTATTCCTTGGTTTCATGATCTCTGGTATTTTTGAGAACTCCAAAATTTTCCTTCGGAGTGTCAATCATTCTCATATTAGAGAATCATGAAAAGTGTTTTTTAGGGACAAGCAGCACTCACACAGCCCCTGTAAGCCAATCCAATGCCACGTGAACAATGGGCTTACTTCTCTGCAATGTGGACACGGTGCACCGACATGTCTGAGAAGCCCAGGCTCAGTGCACCACCGAGAAGGGAGTATTCTGGCTGCTCAGTTCAGGGTTCCCCAACTTTGCTGCACTTTGGGATCTCCCGGGAAGTGTCAGAAATCCCAATGCCAGGCCACAGCCTCACCACGCACGAGAGGAATTCAATTACAGTGCCTGGGAGCCGGGCATCGGGATTTTGTAAAGGTCCCGGGTGAGTCGAAGGTAGGGCAGAGTTGGGGTCCACTGACCTAGAGAATAATCGATCAGTTTCTGATTTTGGCTCCAGGAGGCTTCCTCTGCCTGCCTCTCTGCTGTCCTTCCCAAAATGCACACTCATTGCTGCACCAGCACCAATAATGGTGCAAAATAAACTGTCTATCATAATGAAGGCCTCTGTCTTTTGTTGATATCTGACACTAAAAGCTCCTTACTGAACCAAACCACCAGAGGAAAGTCAGCGATTCCAGGAAGGAACATTTACAGAATATGGTGGTAAGTCATGTGCACCGGAACACTTCACCACTGAGCTCAAACCATCAGCTTATTCCGCTTCCTTCTATCTGCCACACACAGAGCAGAGCATCAGGATGAATGACTTTTGTCAGGAGCCTGAAGAACATGTGCGATGAAGAGCCCTGTACAAATCCAGGCAAAAATGATCTTTAAAACAAGAGTTCCGGCTCCCAGCAGGGTCTTTAACCTGCCTGTGAGCTCGGTTTGGGGTTTTCCGGAGGGAAGTGTACCCGTTGTGCACGCTCTGCGCTAACATTTATCCCGTGACTTTGCGGACTGTGTTGCTGGTTTTTGCAGCAGACTGCAAGCACCCTGTAGAGAGCTGGTCCCTGTCTAGTGGGCTCCTGCACCCCCAGGGCCTGGCACAGACCCGGTCCTCAGTAACTAACAAGTTAACTGTGAGATATAAACGGTAAATCTGTATAATGATTAAATGGAACAAATGCGGTAAAAAATATCTATTTAACCAAGACCTCTATTTATGGAAGGCTGTATTTATACACAGAGTTAATGAATTATTTTGATGCTTCCTTCATATTTCTAGAATAAAAAATATTCAGTAGTACTTCAAAGTATTTTTCTCCTAAAATTTCAAAGAAGTAAATTCAGAGAAGAAAAAAGCCTGTTATTTTGTTTCTGGTTCCAATATTTTTATCACAGTCAAGGTCCTTGATGAGAATCTAGCTGAAACGTTCGTCCACAATTTCTGCTGAGCTAAGTAGATCCGTGTTTTCCATGTTCAAGTAAAGCTTGAAGTGTACAGCCCCAGGAAGTGGAAGGTGAACAAGAAAATTACTCTTAGACCTTCTGTACAAAGTCACTACATAAATGATAAAGCTGTATATTTTTCTTAGAATAGCCTAACCTTTTATTTGCATTTGTAATTTTTTTTTAAGCTAAATTTCATCCCAAATAGTATGGCATGCTCACTGCTGGGAGAATCAGAAGGATACCACCAATAATGATCGTTCTCATAAGCTATCCAATGAGTGGGGGGCACTTTAATGACTGATCACTGACTTCCTAGGCCTCGATGGGTGAGATGGGTACCGAGCTGCTGTCTTCGCTGACCCATCCCCCTGCACGCACACACTGTGCATGGCCACACAGTGATTTCATGTTTTAAATTTGAAAACAAGGTTGATTGTGGACCTGAAAGAAAAGTGTATGCTAACATAACCTGGGAGAAAACAGTTAATGAATGGGTTATAAGAAAGAAGCAGCTTTACCATGAGGGGGTATTTAAAGTAGTCACTCTCAAGGGAGCAGTCTTTGGCAGCAAGCGCCAGGCCTTGCAAAATGGGGATAAAGATCTGTAAGAAAACAAAACAAAACAAAATGAGAAATGTAAGTTTAAGGAAATTTAAGAACGGGAGGCATCGTAAATAAAGTGCGGATCTGAATGCCCAGGCATCTCCCGCAATCCCAAGGAAAAGCTGTTTGCATATAAGGGAGTCCAGACCCAGCCAGGGTGCTGCTGTCCTTCACACCCAGCCACAAAGTAATGCAGCCGAACTGTCCAGAAGCAACAGCACACGGAGAACCCTAATACCCTAGCAGGACTCCCCACTCCCCGGATTCCACAGAAACTCAGGAATCTGGAGCCTGATATAGACCCTCCAGGGGTCCCTGCTTTAATCAGCTCAATTCTACACAACTCAGAACACATGTTTCTGATCATCAAGCACCCATAATCTGTAAAGAAACCGGACTACATGTTCTAATACTTTCTCACCTCTATCAATGGTGTTAAGAAATGCTTTTCACCTCCCACCTCCATCTAATTCCTTCCATCTTTCCCTGTATTTTGAAGAGAACAAGAAAAACAGACCAATAATGGATATTATTACATTAGAGGCCCGGTGCATAAAATTTGTGCACGGGTAGGGTCCCTAGGCCTGACAGGCGGTCAGGGCCAATCCGGGCCTTTCAGCTGCCGGCCGGAGCCTTCCTACATTCCGTGCTGTCCCCTGGTGGTCAGTGCACGTCATAGCAAGCGGTTGAACTCCAGTCAGTCAAACTCACGAGGGAACAATTTGCATATTAGCCTTTTATTACATAGGATTAACCTTAAATATGTAGAACAAAGAGATAGCTGGTAAACGTTAAAATTGAAAAAGACAACTTTATCAGAATGTCTTCCCTCCACATACACAATAGCCCGCTGGCAGAGCTGCAGGGCACTCCCATGTACTTTTACAAGTTTACCACTAATGCCAGGGCACACAAACGCTGCCAGATTAGCACAGCACACATGACTTCGAATGTCACAACGCACTCACTCATCAACAAATCTGGGGATCTGGTAGGGATTCAAGACTTCCAATTCCATTAAAGTAGAAAAAGTTGTAACCAATGGCTAACAATCTGAATGCCAACATGTTGGAAAAGGGAGTTCTATGAAGCCACTGGGAAACCTGAGAAACTCCCTTTCCTACCAACCTCCTTCCATTGTACTGAGTACCTCCATCATTCAGGAAGCACAGTATTACAAAAAGGTGTCTGGACTACCCGGGCCTTACGGCATCCGGAGGTATCATCACAGCTCTGGAAGAAATCATTCTAGTTTTGCAAATGAGCAATCGGGCTGGAAGTAATGTACTTGCGTAAGAGCTAAACATGGAGAGGAAGTGCTTAGATGGGGAACGCCAAAACTGCAAGCAAGAAAACAAACAAACAGAAGTTCCAGAATCACCAAAAATAAATTTCTTAACTGGTCATCTAAAGTAATCTCTGAGCACCGTTTTCAGGAATGCTATAACGTAAAGCATCACTATTCTAATAGAGCTTTCCTCTTTTGTAAGTAGAGTTTGCGTTATAACAAACAGACAATATTGCTAAGCTTATTTTTCAAACAGGCAAGTGTTATACTATCTGTGTGACTTACATATTTTAATAATTCTCTTCTATTCATATAAATAGCTCCCAGCAATAAAAAATGCTACAGGTGTTCATCTCCAAGCTTAAATTCTAGCAACAATTTATTTCTGATATCTTTATTTATCTGTGAACATCACAAATATTTACATTTCAGTCAAAAGATTTAATAATTTAAAGAAGGCAGGAAGGTAACTTGTTTTTCAGTTCAGCAACTCCGTTTTACTCATCCTTCCTAGAAAAGACACTGGTGATACCTAAGGAGAGACAAGCCTTGTTTAAGACTAAGTGTCAGAAAAGGCATCAGAATCCTGTGATTAAAAATAAGCAGGCCGGCCCTGACCTGTTGGCTCAGTGCATAGAGCGTCGGCCTGCAGACTTACGGGTCCCAGGTTCAATTCCGGACAAGGGCATGTACCTTGGTTGCAGGCACATCCCCAGTGGGAGGTGTGCAGGAGGCAGCTGATCGATGTTTCCCTCTCATCAATGTTTCTAACTCTCTATCCCTCTCCCTTCCTCTCTGAAATCATTAAAAATATATTTTAAAAAATTAATAGCTATAAGTAATCCTCCTATATAATAAAAGGCCAATATGCAAATTGTCTCCTCTACTGGAAGTTCAATGGGGGGGGGGAAGGGGGGGTGGGCCGCCATCCCCACCCCCCTACACCCCATAAGGGCAGCGGGCCAGACCCACCCATGCACGAATTCGTGCACCGGGTCTCTAGTATTAAGTATAAAAACAGATTAATAGGAACCATATCAAGTATAGTTTGCCTCTGTTATTCTTCCTAGTCACACAAAAAAGAAATGATCATACAACAAACTGATAGAAAATGTCATAAAAATCCTTTCATGAAGGGAAGGAAGCAGCTTGTGTGAAAGTGGCTGTGGCAAAGTGTGTACATTTTTTTTTAATTTTTAAAAATTGATTTCAGAAAGGGAGAGGGAGAGATAGAAACATTAATGATGAGAATCATTGATTGGCTGCCTCCTGCCGCACCCCCCTCCCCCGCCCCCCGAATCCAGCTGGCAACCCAGGCATGTGCCCTTTGATTGGAATCGAACCTGGGACCCTTCAGTCTGCAGGCTGATGCTCTATCCACTGAGCAAAACCGGTTAGGACCAAAGAGTGTACTTTGTAAGACAAGCCATAAAGCAGCAACCAAAAGGCAATGCTAAAAACACCCTGCAAGCCTGAGCTTATTAATTATTATTAAGCTTTATTATTAAACATTGCATATCTGCATTTTCACTTGACTTTACACAATGAGGTATCAAAATGAATGAAGTTAATGAATGAAGTAATCAATAAGATATATCACCCCCAGATTACTGGTAGGAAGACAAAGATTTTATGAGGTGTGCAAACTGCCACTGCCCTAATTTGGTCATTAATTTATTAATCACCTTTTTGTAAACACGGAGAGCTAATTTTCAACACTACTCATCAAATGCACAGTGAGCCTGATGCTATCTCTAGGTATTCCTATGTTAAAAGCTCCTTAAAAATCAGGGGCACACCCTTATATTTCTTCTTATTTCCCAAAGCACTTAGCAAGAATCCTATTTAGAATATTCCTGCCTCATTGATTAGTTGAAAAGACACCTGATTTGAACAATGCAGCTGTTAATCTGATTTCCCTAACAAAGGGATCTCAGGTCGGTCTCCTTTCTGAGCAGATAACATGTGCTCAGGAACAGTTTCAATACGTGGTGCATTTAAAAACCAGCCTCATCATAGAAACTCCTAAGCTAAAAGTTTTGGTAGCAAATTCCCGAAACCTTACCTGCTTGAACACTTCTTCATCCTGGTGAGTGGTTCTCACCAGCTCTTGAATGAAGCCGTATGGGAGGTTCCTACACAGCATGTACGGCACCAGGAGGGATGGCTGCTGCATGGACCTGTGGACCGGGAGAGTCAATAACTGCAATGAGTCAACCCATTACCACATAACACAGAGCACGTGGAAGGCCATGTCAGCAGCAACTGCCAGCCAAATGTCAAACTTGAAATCTCCCAAATATTCTACAGGACATAGGTAGTTTAGGCAAAAGATCACTCTTCTTATCTATTATAATAAAGGCGTAATATGCAAATCAACCAAATGACCGAACAGCAGAATGACTGTCCAGACAACCACGCTATGACACGCACTGATGCCAGGCAAGCCAAGGCGGGTATGATGCGATTGGTCGGGGGGTTGGGGGGGGGGTCCGCCATCGCCCCACAATTGCCCTGCAGAGGGTAGGCACAGGCCAGCCAAGTGATTGCACTGCACGCCTGTCGCCCACAGAGGGAGGCGACTGGTGGTGGGGGAGGGAGGAGCAGCACCACACAGATGGCAAACAGTGGCAGCGGTGGAGGCAGGGCCAGCTGCCGGGAAGGAAAGCCCCGATAGGCCCTGATTGCTGGCCAGGCCTAGGGACCCTACCCAAGGGGTCCGGACTGCATGAGGGCACAGGCCGGGCTGAGGGACACCCCCTGCCCCACACTGGGCCTCTAGTCATAAATAAATTCCTTTCTGTCTAAAAACTGAGAGATTAGCCCTGGCCAGTGTGGCTCAGCGGTTGAGCATAGACCTATGAATCAGGAGGTCAGGGTTCGATTCCTGGTCAGAGCTCATGCCCGGGTTGCAGGCTCGATTCCCCATGGAGGGGCCTGCAGGAGGCAGCCAATCAATAATTCTTTCTCATCATTGATGTTTCTATCTCTCTCCCTTCCTCTCTGAAATCAATAAAAAATATATTTTAAAAAATTCACCTCTTTTACTTAATTGGTTTATGCTTTAACCAATTAAAGATGAGCAGTGGCTAGACTTCCCCCTAACATCAAGCACATCTCGGTTTCTCCTACCTGGGCTGGGTGAGGGAGCCTTGCAGTACTAACGCAGTGTGGGATATGCACTGTGAGCGGATGTTGCTCAGAAGCTGGCTGACCGCTGGCTGGCTGCACATCTGAAAAGAAAAGACAAACAAAATAACCCCAGACTGTTGAAAACTGACAATATTCAGAAGAGACGGAACTCCAGAAAATGGCATGCTTTGCTCTTCCTTAATTCACACTGAACGAGCCAGAGTAACTGTGTCACCCGGTCACTATTTCTGCTGAAATCTACAGTTAGAGAAGAAAGAAGTGGAGGCTGGAGGCGACCACTCAGGAATCTCAGACATGCCCGCTCGCTCTGCTTTGCTAAGGTTAAGAGCAACAAACCCCAGAGGCCCTGCAGACATGTGAAACTAACAGGTGGGCAACCAGATTAGTTTCTAATGGAAAACTAGAACTAGAAAATGAAGTAGGAATAAAATGAAATAATAATGAAGTCAGCACAAAAGAGAAAAAGTATAGCTTCCTAAGTTTAAGTGCAGTTTTGTAACTTATTATGTAAGTGATTCTGGACAATTACTTAATCTCTCCAACGTTCACTTGCTTATTCATACAACATTAAAAAATAGTATGCATCTTACACTGGATTACACCGGGCTAACTGAACAACTGGGAATCTGAACTAACGCAGGCCCAGCACAGCACCTGCCAGTCTACGGGCTACATAAATGTTGTTTATTATGATTATGATTATGAGAGACTATCAGAAATTACTAGGGCCATGTAAGCTATTGGTAGCAATGGCCCTTGGCCCTGTCACTTCTTCCCTCTGCTAGGATGTGAGTTCTATGAGGGCAGGGATCTTCGTCTGTTTTGTTCATATCCCAAGATCCTGGTATAGTGCTGGGCATGCCTGGCACGTAGTACATGCTCAATAACACTTCATGAATAAATAAATGAATGCTAAGTAGGGGGTGGAAACTATTATTTATCAAACAAATGACCAGGCTCTGTGGGCTCTTTTTGATGAATCTATTTCTTATTACCTTTGGTGCTTTTTTTTCCTCTATTCCAACTCGGTCAAAACACTCGATGAGGTAGTTCAGCATATCTGTCTCCTTGCAGGTCTCAATGGCGAAATGGTCACTGTAGGAATCCCAAGAACTTGCCCCACCACAGGCTCCAAAACTTTGGAGAAGAGAAGAGAAAGTGATGGTTCGCACCTCTCCTCAGCACATTGTTTTAGACAGTTTGCACTTCTGCAGCAGAAAGCCTGTTGGGACCCCTGCCCCGGGCCAGAGCGCAGGCCCCATGCAGCCAAGGCTGGAGCTGACTGCTCATCCCCCTGCTCGAAGGCCACCCACAGTCATTTCTAATAAACATTTTATAGTGACTAAGAAGTCTGACCAGAAACCCAACGTCTTATCTTGTTGGGAATGGCAACTTGCAAAACCAGGAGGCCGAAGCATGGCGAGGCATCAGAAGGGAGGCCACACGTACCTAAGCCAAGCGGGCAGCATCGCTCGGGCAGACACGGGGGTTAGAGCACACTAAGCTATCACTGACAGGAGAGCAAAACTCCCCTCCTTCCTCCTAACTCCCAGCGTGGATCTCACAGCCTTCAGCTAGCATTTGGCAACAGGGCCAGAGCTTAGGAAACTGTCCAGTGAGGAGACATGAAAATGTTGGTTATCAGCACAAATTTCCCGAAGCTTTCAGTGAAAAAGGCAGCACAGTAAGAACAAAACCAAACCCTTGCTCGAGGGGAGTCCCAACCTGGGGTCTCTTCCCAGCCTACAGCTTACCTGTCACCTGAACCCAAACCTCATCTCATGTGCAGCGAGGGTTAAACAAAATCACGCGAAGTGCTTTGTAGACGAAAGCAGGGGACTGTGTGAGGCATTGTTATCATCGGTATCACTGTTCTCTAGGCCAAAGCCAAACATCACCACAGGATTAGGTGTGCGGGAACTCCAGTTTAGAGCATTAGGTCATATGCCCAATCTGATGTTAACTCACCCAATTGATTTGATTTGCACAGAGGAGACAGATTAATCATGGCATAGGAAGAGGCCGGGAATTTTGAAACGAAGATGAAATGAGAAAACATAAGCTTACCCAAAAAGTTACATGTGAAAGATGATAAAGGATGGGAAGACTATCAGGAACCTGAGAGACCCATTCCTACTTCAACGCGGGGCCAACAAAGGCTAGAAATTAAAAAGCAAAAGGAACTGACACATTAACAGTATGTTACATACATAGACGGGTAGATACACAAAACTAATTTTGGAACATACACATAACCAATCTTAGATTTTAGAAAAACATAACTGACCTTCAAATGACATTAAAGTATTTCAATCAAAAATATGAAAACAATGCCAGTTTTATATCCAAAGCTTCCAGTAAATTTGAATTCCTACAGTATAGGCCCTACTATAGGTGTGACAGAGAAGGGAGGGAGGAGTTGAGGCGGAGAGGCAGGCAAAGGCACCAGGCAGCCAAGGCCCTCCTGACAGGTAACTAGCACCACAGAGCACCCGGACAAAGCCAGGACAAAGATGGGCAGGCCAGCATGAGAACCCTAAAAACAACAACACACAATTAACTTTTGTGTCTTCTTATCTGTTAATTTTGGGGCACCCTTCATGAATTAAGGGCGGGATCTGATATCTGTTCACTGGCCTGACAACAGAAGGATGAGTACTGTAACAACGCACAGGAAAAAACCCATAGAACAAAACAGAAAAACCCACCCACAAATATAAGAAGTGTGCTGCGTCCCCGAAAGCAGAAAGGGGAAAAGAGATGTTTGTATTCACCTTAGCTTCCCCCCACCTGCTATCCCTGCCTCCTCCTCTGACGTCAGGCACTCAGGGGCTACCGTAGGGCAACAGGTCCCCAAGATGAACTGTACGAGCACAGGCGGTGCCTACGCACCATTAAGGTTACCTTTCCTTTGAGCAGCTCTTGCAAATGACAATGAAAACAGAGACTCCTCATGTTTAAAAAGGAAATTTAAAACCATACATTGCCTTGGCCCTAAGCCCGTATTTCTCAATTTTTACATTTCTGACGCGGAAAGCACCTTATATTTCTTGGATGTTGGTGGGTCCTTGCCAGCAGCAAGGGGTCCGTTGAGGCAGTGCCTGCACTGCGTGGGTCCGCCTGTGAGACACTGTGCGACACCGGCATGCTCAGATGGTGGCAGGTCATGCCCGGACACTAGATTCCATTCTCAGCCAACACGCCCATCCCACTGTGACTAAATCTGAACACCTCAAGCCAACTGAAGTATCTTCACAAATGTCGCACTAAGGCATGAGGAGTGACAATGCAGGTAGAGACCGCCTGGCAGGTGCCAGGCAATGCAAGGGAAGATGGTAGAGTTTTCAAAGCTAGGAGGTGGGTGTCTGTTGGTGAACATCTGTCAGGCACCAAGCAACACTTCCAGTTGATTTCAAGAGAAGAGAAAGAAAAAAGAAGGAAAGAAACAAACAAACAAAAAAAGATTTAACCAAATAGGATATATAGAGTATATTGACCAGTGTTGGGATTTAGTTTGCACAGATCTGAAGCATGTGCAATATCCCCAGGAATATTTTCCATTAAAAAGATTCCATTGCAGTTTCTTTTCTTCTCCAAGGGGAATAATCACCCTCCTATTTTCTTTCTTTCTTTTTTTTGGTCAATATAGTTCAAAAGCGTAGGTTTAATGCTCAAGGTGCTAAAGTAGACCACGATCACAAGTATGAAAACCAGCCAGTCCAGCCAACACTCGCTATGCATACGCGTCAAAGGTCAAAGGTCACCGACAAGGAGCTGTGGATTCACAGCCAAAGAATTGGACTCAAATTCTGAACGACAGATAGTAAAGGACAAAGTGGTGGATAGTCTATATGCACAAATTCATGCTACTGATAAACCCTTTAAATGTTTTAAAGATTTTGGTTTTTTCCTTAAAATGCTGTTATATTTCATGATGGTTTTATAACTGCTGACATATGAAATATGACATCGGGAATGTGTCATATGTAAGTCCTAAGAGTATCTCTGGGAAAACATATGAGCCATTTTCTGAGACTACATCCGTCCTAGTTAATAATGTAAATTACTTCACATGATGGAATCACATAATACCTGAATCCTTATGAAAACATTCCTGGGGTTATTACACATGCCTCAGATCTGCGCAAACTAAATCCCCATTTTAAAAACTTGTTTCTTAAAAAGATTCCATTGCAGTTTCTTTTCTTCTCCAAGGGGAACAATCACCCTCCTATTTTCTTTTCTTTTTCTTTTTCTTGCATGCAGGTCCTGCAATTTTATATCTTCTCAATGCAGCGTGAAATCAGAACGGGGTAGCTTGAAGCGATGCGCTCAGTAACAAGGGAAGCAGTGTGCCTGCTGCTTCCAGGCCCTGCCCTGGGCCCTGGGGTAACACGCTGAGTCAAACAGCTGCAGACCTGTTCCTGGGCACCTACGTTCCAGGAGAGATGCTCAAAAACGACTGAACAGAGCAGAGCTCCGGGGGAAAGAAAAGCAGGGGATGGGGGACAGAAGGGGCAGGACGTGTGTTTTCTATACCACGCCTAATACAGCAGGGTCGGGGACACAGTCTGATAAGATGGCATTTACACACAAGACCTGAGGGAGTCGGGCAGCCAGCCAAGTGCAAAGGCCGAAGGCAAGAGGAGATATGCTGAGTGAGTTCAAGAGCAGGATGGAGAGTGGGAGCTGGAGGAGGGAGGCAGGTGGAGGCAGGTGCGGTGAGAAAGGAGGTGTGTGTGTGTTGTATGTGCGCATTTGTGTCCGTGTGTGTACGTGAGCTGCGCAGGCTTGTAGGCCAGGGTGAGAGGCTTTCGGTTTTACTCCGAGTGAGGAGGGAAATCACTGGAAGGTCTTGGGACTGGCAGGGAAGAATGATTTCCTTTAGACTATTTCCATGTCTTATCTCCAAGTAGTGACGGCCAGCACAAATCAGAATAAACGTCCCTTTTTCACTACCTTGTCATTTTTCTCTTCCTGTTCAGAGGCTCATGACTTTCAAGATTTGACCGGCTTCATTGCAATATCTAAGCAGTGAAAAAACAAAAACCGGAATATTTCTTTCTAGTCATCCACTTCTTAGGAAACAATGAGAAAAACTTTCCTCAGAATAACTCCTTTGTTCTTTATCACAAGACAATTCTCACCTCACTCATTTCCACTCCTGGGAGAAGTGGTTCCTTATAATTCACACAGCTCTCTCCACACAACATTGCAGAAGGAATGCTCCTACCTTCCTTAAATTAACCCTTAGCATCGCCACTAATAAGAAATGAAGATATGAACATAGGAGCATATGTCCAGACTACTTCCAAAAAGATCTGCATGACATCAACTCCACGGGACACACAGCGGGGGCCGGATATGAGCCCTGCCGACTCCTTCCTCACCTTAATCTTGAATGTAAGAAGTGGGTGTTGAAATCTTCCTTCAAAGGAAATAAAACTCTGAGATGATCAATTAGAGAGGGGAAAAGAAAAGACCATTAGCGCTTCATGAACAAGGTTTGGCCCTTCCTGGTTCTGGCCCTACCAGCATTCTCAAGGTCCTCTCAATCTGTTTAATCAGTTACGTCTTTTTACCCATCCTTCTATATTCTTTTTTATATCTATTCGGAACCTCTAAGTTGCCAAAATCTGGATAGATCAGATTCCATTTTGACAGCCAGCAAAGGGCGTGCCTGCCGCCCGGGATGCGATTCTGTAATCACGGAGTCAAATGTTCTTGCGCGGAACAGAGAAGATGCTCTTGGCAGCAAAAGAACCAGTAAGGAACGAGAACAACACAGTCCTATTGGACGAAGATGGACACGCCAGAGGCAGCCCGGGGGCTCTCACCCAGGCTCTGCACGGCCTAGTCACGTGACTCGCCTCCCTCCCAGTGGCCCAGTTCTCACAGTAAGGTGGAGGGCTGCGGGGCGGATTACGGTGGCAATGAATGCAGCACTGACAGTGGCTGGCACGTGATGCTCGGTGAGTGTGCTCAGCTATTATTACACAACCCCGGAGTTTTACTTCTCCTGGCAGGTGTAGGATCTAGATCTGAGACAAAGCTGGGATGTTGTAAGTCCAGGAAGACAGGTGTTAGTGACAGCAGCACACCATCTGATACCTTTGTTAGAGAAAGCTGGGATTAAATAGGCCAGGGAGAGATTCTCCGCAGATAACTCACAAACAGCTAACAAAGCACTTATCATGCATGGAAATGGATTCCTAACGAGGATGCCTGCCGCATAACTATGATCGCGCCACAGGACTTTCCTACAAGAAAAAGGCACCTTTCCGGCTGGGAAGCTTACTCGAGAAAGAGCGGCCCAATGTTCAAGCTAATACAAACATCAACCTTCCCGAGCCAGCAGTCAACCGTGCGCCCCGCTCCTCTCCCTTTATACACTCCGTCCTCTGCCCACTGTCAGAGGTAATGAAGTGTACCCACTCCTACTGCCGGCTCTATTTATAGCCTGGAGTTATTTTTAAACAGTGTTGGGCACAAATACCAACCCAGCCCAGAGGAAACTTCAATTTAAGAGCAAAATTGTAAGACAATGAGTCAGAGTGTTAGAAAGACAGTATTATTGTATTTTCTTTTTCAAAGTCACCTAGACAACCTAAGTAGCCTTTTTCAGGAGGGAACACTCAGCAATATTAATGAACTGTGTTTAGGCCTCTGCTGCCGTTCCAAAGGCCGTCCAAACAAGCAGGGCGAGCCCGGCTGGTTTGGCTCAGGGGTTGAGGGTCGACTCAAGCACCAAGAGGTCATGGTCAGGGCACATGCCTCGATTATGGGCTTGATCCCCAGTACGGGCCTTGCAGGAGGCAGCTGTTCAATAATGTTCCTCTCATCGATGTTTCTATCTCTCTATCCTTCTCCCTTCCTCTCTCTCTAAATATCAATAAAAACATATCCTATATAATAAAAGCCTAATATGAAAATCAATGGAATGGTGGAACGACCAGTGGAATGACCAGTCGCTATGATGCACACTGACCACCGGGGGCAGACACTTAACGCAGGAGCTGCCCCCAGCCCACAGGCCCCGGGCCAGCCAAGGTGGGTGCCAGCAGGGGACCCCCAATCACCCTGCCAGTAACCCCACCGAAGGAAGGAGACCAGCAGCGGTGGCAGGGGACAGGGCCGGCCAGCAAGTGGGATGGGGGACAGAGCTGGTGAGTGGGCAGCGCCAGGCCAACCAAGGCAGGTGCCAGCAGGGGCTCCCAATCGCCCCGCCAGTCGCCCCACAGATGGGCCCTGATGGCCAGCCAGGCCTAGGGACCCTACCTGTGCACGAATTTTGTGCACCAGGCTTCTAGTTTTTTAATAAATAAACAAGCAGAGTCTAGCTTCACTGAGGTCAGGGAGGCGATCAATGAAATCGAGGTTAGACATGAGAGCAGACTCACAATTACAGTGGGAGGATGACCCCGTATGCCCATCAACTGATTGCCCAGACTGAGCCGGGGCAGGACCCGTGCAAGCACGCACACGCACACACGCCAGCACCTCTGCCATTCCTAAAGAGCAGTCATCCATGCAGCTGTGCGCAGGAAAACATGCCTCTCAGAGCACATGTTGCTACATCTGCTTGCTCACAAGAATATCCTTGCAACAGGTAAGTGCAGGGTTCTTCATTTGTAGAGCTTAGGGCGGCTGAAGTTAATGGTGACTGACCTCTACTCTGTTATTCATGTTTTTGACAAAAGATTATATGTAACTTTTCTCTAAACTTACCAGGCAACAACTATGAAAATTTTCCTATGTGCCCTGTACCCCACGAGAGGGTCCTAGCATTTCAGGACATGCAACTGCTCACATCTTCACTCTCCAGTGGGCTCGCCTGACCCTATGCTGTTGTGGTTCAAAGCAGCCCCCTAACCAGGGCTTACGGGAGTTAGTTCCTAAGCACCTATGCACATGCAGGGGTAAGACTCCATTCCTGATACCTGGACCCAAACTGGACACAAGAAAACTCATCACCACCACCAACACCTTCATCATCACCATCATCTTCGTCGTCTTCATCATCATCACTACTGTCCCCAGAAAGCGCGAGGAAGAGGAAGGAGAAAGGACTGTCGTACATACTACCACAACAAAAGCAAAAAAGGTGATCAGGGAACAGAGGAAAAACAAGAGGGAGAAAGCTTGTTTTAAAAATATATTTTATTGATTTTTTACAGAGAGGAAGGGAGAAGGATAGAGAGTTAGAAACATCGATGAGAGAGACACATCGATCCGCTGCCTCCTGCACACCTCCTACTGGGGATGTGCCCGCAACCAAAGTACATGCCCTTGACCGGAATCGAACCTGGGACCTGGGACCTTTCAGTCCGCAGGCCGACACTCTATCCACTGAGCCAAACCAGTTAGGGCGAGGGAGAAAGCTTTTGCTGTCCGATTAATTAAAGCTTATGCTGGAAGTTTTCTCTACTGACATGCAGGAAAGTGATTCCCCTGAGCCACAGAGATGCACAGGGGCCTGTGAGAGGGGCACTGGGTTAATGGGACTCTGGGGCCACCTGTCTAGGAGCTGGAATCAGAGTCAAGGCATGAACGCTGGCCCCGCCCAGTGACCAGAGCTAAGGAACACCAGGCCCAGCCCGCCCCCCGCCACCGCTTGGTCTGACTATATTTCAACTACCAGTGTCAACAGTACGAAAGTCAAAAAGTGGTTCTGTGATCCCCAACTCTCAAATACCAACTGCCTACAGTCCCTGAAATTCTTGTAATGAGGAGTGACATGTGAATTCAATTTTAAAAACTAAGTTACTTTTTCTTCCTTTTTTTTTTTTTTTTTTTACAGGACAGAGAAAGGGCGAGGGGAAGGTAGGGAACAAAGGTGCCCACAACAGAGCCACCCATGCTTTCTGGTGTCACCAAAGCCGGGCAGAAGCACGGAGTCAGGGCAAGAGCCTACCAACTAGTTAGACACACGGTTAATAACCCAACAGAAAACCCATGTAGCTGGAGTCAGTGCCACGCAACAATCCTTCCAAACATGTTAACCTGTTTCCCTGCGCTGCACGCCCGCCGCCCACTCTCCTGCTGGATAAATACCTAGGAGAAGTCCCGAGGGAGGAGGGGCGTCTGCTCAGGGCACTGGGTGAGGCGGGCAGGAAGGCTGGCCCGGTGCTGGCGGCCCTCTGTCGGGAAGAGCTGGCCGGCACGGCTTGAGGGCTACTAGCGAGGGCAGGGAGGCTCGGTGAGCTAGCCGGGAGGGAGAGGCCTGGGGACCTCGGGGTAGGAGAGGCTGAAGGCCCCCCGGGGTGGGTGACAGTGTAGGGGCGATACCGCAGCGATGGCATGTTGGTGGGAATGCAACTTGATACAGCTACTATGGAAAACAGTATGGAGGGTACTCAAAAAATTAAATGCCCCGGAGGGGGGGGCAAGGGGCGGGCTCATGGCCGGCACAGAGCTCCAGAAGCCCGCGCTGGGAGCGGGGCTAGTTTCATAGAGGCTGAATTAGGTGAGAAGAGGAGGAAAGAGAGAAAATGGAAGAAAAACCTGAGATAAAGAATTAAAATAAAAAATAGCACGCTTTTAAAAAACAGCATAGTCACACTTCCCAACTCTAAGCATCCAAGTGTACGAAGCTTTGAGATACCTACATAAGAATCACCTAATTGCTGTAAAGGACTCTAGATAGAAGTTATATTTTAAAGCCCTCTCGCCAAAGATTAATGTACAGTTTTATTTCTAAATTTTAGTTTACCAAAAGCCAAACCGTGGAAAGCCAAAGAGACCAACCTGAAAAGGACAACACCTCCCGCAGTGACCAAATCCAAGCCCCCAAATCTGACACCTGCTACAATCTGCACAGGCCCCCGAAAGAACGCTCCCTTCTCTTACACGCTCGCGGCCATTTTACTTCCACTCAAATGTGCAAGAAGAACCGCACTGACCTAGACAAAGAGCTGGCGCCGAAGGAACCCACACCGCAGAACATGGGACTCGTTCCGGGGACCGAGCCGGTATTTAGCGTGAGGTTTCTGTCGGGTGACCGAGCTGCCGCGGCAATTGGCTGTGACGTGGCTGTCAGACTGGCGAACGGGTTTTCATCTCTAGTCTGAGTGGACATCATTAGCACTTCCATTAAAATCTGGCCAATCAAGTCCTTAAAATCAGAGAACACTGTTGGAAAGGCAGAATAAAAGGGAGGTTACACGTGGTTCTTTAAATACACAGTCTTCGAAAAGGCCAAAGGGAACCGGAGAGGTGCAGGGTGGTGCCCCGGCCTGGACTGGACCCTGGAACAGGAAAGAGATGTTAGTGGAGAACTTGAGAAACCCAAACCAG